ACTCGCAGCCGAGTTCCACGCTTGAAAGTAGCGAGGGTCACCGGGAATCCCTCTTTCTCACTTTGAGCAAAGTGAGTGGCACGCCTTCGCAGTTTTATCTGCTACGCGGCCAGAAAGGGAGATTTTGGAGACAACAGATAGTTATATTAAATTTTAATTAATTTAAAATTAAATTAAATTAAATTTTATTTAAAATTTTTTTTTTCAATACTTGTTTTTACATTTATAAAATTTAAACTCAAAATTTTACTTAAGAGAAAACAAAAGTGCTTCAACTTAGACTGGTATACTATTTCTTAACATTAGTATTAACACGTTAAAAAAGGATAAAGGGTTCAAAACGATATAAATAATTCCATGGTATTAAATCTTTTGTAAATATAAAAAATTTTAAATAAAAACAACGAAATTTATAAGTAAAATAAATTAAAAGATGAAAATAAATTATTTTTTATTATACAACTCAAAATAAAAATAAAAAAATTAAGAAAGATTATGTACAACACCAAGATATTACGATATGCTCCATCTGTTCAGTCACAGAAATTAAGTAAATTCAGAACTAAAGTCTAAAACCTGCATGTTTGAGTTTAAGATAAGTATTATTTATGCAATCCAATTTCCAAACTAGCAGAAAGGATAGCAGTGTATAATCACTATATAGACTACAAACTGAGGGCTAAATTTAATTCACGTCATATACTTTTACGTAGTTTTAGCCCGAAACTGGCTTTGCACCTCCATTTTCTTGGACACTGTTAACTGGGGTGGAGGAGCCCGATCCATTTCTCTTGCCATGGTGGCCAGTGATGGTCCTGCCCATGAACTTTCCGGCTTTGGTCAGCCCACTACCTACAGCTCCAAGCCCGCTTCCTACCATCCCAACCCCAGCACCAACTCCAGTTCCCACAATTCCAACTCCAGCACCGATGCCTGTTCCCACCAGCCCGACTCCACCAACAATACCGCTACCAACCAATCCAACGCCTGAGCCCACCAGTGAAGCTGCTCCGTCAAGTGCATCCATTGTGCTTCCTATAACTCCTGCCTCTTTCAGTTTCTTTCTTTCCTCTAAGATCCTCTTCTCTTCTTCCAGAGCAGCCAACTGTTCTTCCTTGTTAAATTCATGGTACAATACCTAAAGCGTGTAAAAAATATCATTTTAATAAAGGAGGAGAAAAGTAGAATGAGAAATTCAATGGACTGGACAGAATAAGTGAAAAGGTTAGAATCTTAAACAATTATAATGCCAAAATATTTAGAAAAGCTATATTGCAGGCAGAAGGAAAACAAAATGGATACCTTAAGGGTAATGGTTCCTCTGTCCCTTTTATCTTTTACTTTGAGTGTATCAAGGGAGGATAGAAGTCTTAACTCAACCTCCTTTAAGTTGTTGGGCTCCAGACCAATCAGAGGTAGTTTCACTATTCCTAACTTCTTGTCTTGCCCAATGTCCTGGTCGAAAACCTGTTAAATGATATTATCAACATCATAAGATGGGAGATATATCATAATTTTACCAGATAATAAGGGAAGTATAACAGCATGAGAAAGGGGAATATGAGTGCCGAGTAGTTAGTACCTCGATAGTAAGTGACTGTGTCTCCTTGTCTTCTGCGATCAACACAAACGTTTGATCCCAAACAGGATTGAGATTGTTGTCAATAACTTTGGTTTTAACCTTAAAGAGTGGCCGAATGTACACAACTGCATAAGGATCTGATTTTCCAATCATTTCCAAGTTCTTTAAATCATTTGCCTTGACTACCGTGACAGTCAGCTTTCCCTGTGGTTTAAGCTCTAATTCACTGCATAACAAAGGAATCAGTTACATGTTCAAATCAAGGCATAAAAACCATACCCAAAAAACCTCAAGGCATAGAAACAATACAAAAGGCATGTTAAGAATTTTGCGTGTCTAAAAAATTCCCTATGCATCTGAGTTAGAAAATGCCATAAATTAGATAAAAAAAATCACTTCAGACCAAATGGCTCGTTTTTTATTTTTTTTAAAAAAAAAACATGTTGACGAAAACAAAAGTCAGTTATCCAATAAAGAGATGGAAAATATATCTTACAAAGAGCTTGACCCTACCACTTTGAACTAATCTGGTTTAGGATACTATAATGATTATTTTAATCAACCAGCTGTGATGTCATTACCACCCAAAAGGGGAAACAATACACTCAGTAATAATGGACTCAAAAGCAACTTTCAGAATTACCTTGTATCAACAGGGATACCACCAAGAGGAACAACAATCCTATGTGGCCACTGAAGCATATCTGTAACAATAGAATTTACTGTATCCTACAAAAAATGATACAAACTTATAATAAGTTTATATGACAACTCAAATTAAATCAACATTACAAAAAGGAAAAACTTACATCAATCATATCCGAAAGTCCAGGGATGGCAGTCAAGCTTCCACCAACAGCTTTCAGAGTATAGTCAATTCTAGGCTTTGGCTGACAAAATTTAACCAAAGCATCAGTCATTCACAGAAACTATAAATAGAGTTAGTGATTACAAAGTAGAATCATCCATGACTAACTGCTAAATCATAACCCTTAAAAATTTTCTAATGAGCGAACCATTTATATGATACATAACCAGCACAGGATGGGAAAAAATAGATATGGGGGAGGGGACGTCAGCAATGAGTCAAAATTTGCTATCAGCATTATTATAGAAAGAAACAAATAAGCTTTCTACTAAATAGTGTAGGCACATATATCCCTACTCCCAAGATTTGAATGCAATTGAAAAGTATTGTAACAATACCTCAGAAAGTAGAGCAACAACAACAGCAGAAATGCAAGGTATCTCTTCAGCAAGCTGGAAGATGACACGGGCAACAGTGAAAACTTGAAGATCCTTCAGCTGTATTGTATAACAAAATGTTAATGGTAAGAAAAATAATCTTATAGGCTAACATTAAAAACATAGAGGAAGGAATCATAACAAAGAAGGTGTCTGAACACAGAAGTATCTATTGCAAAGCAACTTTCACCAACCTGAATGGGTATTGAAGCAACAAGTGCAGCCTCAACTCCTAAAATGATGCTTGGATCACCACCCCACCGGAAATCAATATCCATGGTAATTTGACCTTGCTTAAGGCTCTGAACACGAATACCTACATTTATTATGTACGTGAAATAACAAAGCATGAGAATTGTCATCTAGCTATAGGGATTTCCATGCCAAAAAATATAGCAGTTTGACCAAGTAGAAGCAAAAAAAAAAAGAAGAAATGGCAGGATTTGCAAACTGAATCATACCTTCAATCTTGGGTGCCACATTACCAAGAGACAATTTGTTAAACTTTAATGAAGTAATTCCTGGAGGTCGGTATTGTTCCAAGAGTGGTTCAACAGATTCTCTTATCACCAGGGTTGCTGCCTGAGAATGACACATTGAACATGTTTGGGCTCATTAATTCAAAAATACACTAATTTTCTGTTAAGATTATTTCAGATTCTTTACTCTGTCATGTCTGAGTTATCCTTTGTTAATAATATTCATTTCCAAAGGAGTAGGAGCGGAGCAAGAAAAACCCATTCAGTACAACCAGACTCTATGCTAATACCCAGCTTACAATACTGCAGAAGGGCAACCTAGTAATGGTTAATTTTATTACCAAAAACATGTAGCATAACTTTGCATCGTAGTCGGTACAAGAAACCTATTTAAAAATTAAACATGCATGTATAACTTCAGAGAAAATCCTGGAAACAGAATAAGCTGCCACACAATCCGCTATTTTGTCATGAAACAACCAATTCCATAACAGATATAACCCTCAACTTTCTTTAGTTTTCACTAGCATCATCTCTCCCATCCTCCTAAAGAAATTGATAATACCAAGCATGCATCTTACCGTATGTAGAACAGCAACAGGTATACATGAAAACAAAGGCATCCCACTTACCTCAGCAACAAATGGCCATAATTTGCTTAACTGCTTGTTCAACCATTTCACCTAAAGAAGCCAACCATAATATAAAATATTAGGCAACTACACTGAAAGAAATCATGGTAATCAAAATGAAACACGTTCATAATAAACAACTGTGATAGGAACGTAGCTAGCCTGTTCATAGACCACCAACCTGTTCATAGACCGGAAACGATATCCATTCAGGAAAGTTATCCCCACATATTTTCTTCAGATCTTCCCTGTTAAGGGACCCAAGAAGTTTAATATCAACAGCCTGCCAATAAAGAGAAATACTGTGAATAAAAGGCATCGCAAACTGAAACACTACTTAAATTAGTTAGCACTTCCAGATTTACTAAGAGCTTTGAATATTTGAATATAATGAGTAAGCATTGATATTCCAACACTGCTAATCCAAGAAATTTATATTAAATTCACTCAAGCAGTTCTGAAACAAGTTAATTAATCAATTCTAACGAACTGCCACAAATTCAAGGAAAAGAGCAAAAATTTAAACTAGAGTATACAATGAAATTGAAACGGAAGAAGAAAAATTTAAACCCAAATTTGGCTAAATCATTTGAGAGGTTAGCATACCTTTGCGATTCGCTTACGGCTTCGATGCTTCATCATGTATTGCCAGCCAGCCATCAATCCGATCCCGAACAACATCCCCATAAAAATCCCCGAAACCAACCCCATTTTCCTTCAATCCAAACAGAAATCTAGTCAGGAAAAACCAAGTCCACTGAGAAACCAACTCCGAAGAGTGGGAAAACGGAGGGAGCTACAATGAAACTGAAGATTGAAAAAAAGCAAAGAGAAAAAGATTGAGGCGACAAAATGAAAGAAATTGGAGATCGGAGAAAAGAGAGATGGAAACAAAAAAAAAAAAAGGATAATCAGTTTTTATTAGCGTTGGATAAATGGCGAATCTCGAAACCCCACACACCTTCTCTCGGGATTCCCACACTGAATTTATCTGCGTTTCTCGCTCTAAAAAAAAAATTATCAGTCTGTCTCTCTCTCGTAACGTCTCTGTCGAGTGCCGGATGCCGTCGGCATTGCAAAGATAAAGATGAAGGGGGGCAGTCAAAGTGATGTAGGCCAGCCGTGGGGAGGGTGGGGAAGACGATGAGAGGTTGTGACTTTTTTAAAATCTTTAGCATACAGTATTCCTGGTTGTTAATTAACGTCTGTCTGTCGGTTTCGGTTATGTAGTGAAAAATGAAAATGTATCTCCGAAAAGGAAGTTTATTTTTCCGCCATTTTACCTTTTTTGACTTTGCCCGGTTGTAAAATGTTCGCCGCCTTGCGCCATTTGTACGTCATTTTGCTTTACAACGGAATTTTTTTTTTACTAAAATGATCAGTTAAATTAACAAGGTTGATTCAAGTGGTAAGCGGCTTGTTCCATTTTAAATAAGGTTTTGAGTTCAAGTCTTTGCGTACATATACGCAGCAGCCTTTGTTAAGAGACTCACCCACCATTTTCAGGTGCGTGACCCAGGTCGGGTCCGAATTAGTCGGAGCAAAACCTTGGATATCAGACGAAAACAAAAAAAAAAAAAAAAATCAGTTTAAAGGCAGCTTTTTTTT